GCACAAAAGGTTCCTTCCTTTTCCCATTCTGGGCCTCAAAGGCAAGTACTAAATTGTCACACTTGCTACCATGCTAACCACACCTGTCACTCTATTAGTAAAATAACACTTTCCATTTTATTAGAAGGTAAACCTTGTCGTATGGAGGTTGACACGGGGTCAGCGCTCTCAATCATCTCTTGGAGCACTCTCAAGAAAATCCAGCCCAGACTATCCAGAAACCAGCTCCAGAAGTGCCAGATCTCCTTGAGGGATTATCAGGGAGAAGACATTCCAGTGCTCGGCAAAGGCAAGTTCCTTGTTAATTTTAAAGCTTTTAAAGGCCACCTGCCTCTAGTGGTAGTTAACGGCAACCTCCCCAGTCTCCTGGGGCTTGATTGGTTCCCCCACCTCGGCCTAGGGTTAACAGGAGTCCATGCTGTCTCAGCTTCTGACACTGACTCCTTATTTACTGACTACTCAGACGTATTCAGCAATGAGTTGGGGTGTTATAACGGTACCCCCATCTCATTTGCAGTTGACCCCCAAGCGGTTCCAGTCCGGCTGAAACCGCGTAGAGTCCCATTCGCCATTCGGCCTAAACTGGACACAGAACTCGATAAATTATTAAAGCAAGGGGTCATTGAGCCGACAGACTTCGCCAAATGGGAGACGCCAATTGTCACACCCCTTAAAAAGGATGGCAGCCTGAGAATTTGTTCAGATTACAAAACAACAACCAACCGCTTTCTACAAGTTAGCGCATACCCAGTCCCGGTCATTCAACATTTATTGCATACTTTTGAGCCTGGCAACATTTTTGCCAAATTGGACATGTCACAAGCGTATCAGCAGTTCCCTATTGACAACCAAACAGCCGAACTGCAGACCATTGTGACCCACAGGGGTGCCTTCCGGTGCAAGCGTCTCCAGTTTGGCGTAAGTGTTGCCCCGGGCATCTTCCAATCCCTCATGGAGCGTATACTACAGGGCCTCCCTGGCATAGTACCCTACTTCGACGACATATTGGTCTCGGCCAGGGACAGACCCCAACTTTTCCAGAGAGTCAGAGCAGTGTTGGACAGGTTCAGACAGCATGGCCTCAAATTAAAAAAGGAAAAATGTGCCATTGCCACTAGACAGGTGGACTTTCTGGGCTATAGAATTGACGCCGCAGGCATCCACCCCCTAGAGTCCAAGGTCAAGGCAATTCATGAGGCACCCACGCCAACCACTAAAGCCGAGCTACAAGCCTTTTTGGGATTATTGAACTTTTATGCATCATTTCTACCTCACAAAGCATCGGTAGCAGAGCCTCTACACAGGCTCTTAGATAAAAAAGCACCTTGGCACTGGGGACACAAGGAAGACACCGCTTTTCGCGCAGTCAAGTCACTGCTCACATCTGACGCAGTCCTTATTCAATTTGACCCACACCTTCCACTGGTACTAGCTGCGGATGCATCCCCTTTTGGGATTGGCGCCGTATTAAGCCATAGACTACCCAACGGCTCTGAGGCACCGATCGCCTTCTTTTCCAGAACGCTCTCAGCAACAGAGTGTAACTATAGTCAGATAGACAAGGAGGCCTTAGCCGCAGTGGCCGCGGTTAAGAAATTTCATGAATTCCTATTTGGCCACAACTTTGAGCTAATCACGGACCACAAACCTCTCCTGGGTCTTCTTTCCGGAGACAAGCAGACTCCCCAAGTGTTGTCTCCCAGAATGATGAGGTGGACTTTATTCCTGGCGGCTTACTCGTACAAGCTCATCCACCGCCCAGGAAAAACGTTAAGCCACGCAGACGCTCTCAGCCGCTGCCCCCTGCCAGCTCCAGCAGAAGACCCGGCCCCGGTCCACGCCATCTTCGATGTCACCGAGCTCGACCTTCCTGTCACCGCTCTCGACATCGCCACCAAATCCAAGACGGACAAAACCATCGCCCAGGTACTGGACTGGGTGAGGAGGGGGTGGCCGGGCTCTAACCTCGCAGCCGAATTCACACCTTTTAAGACCCGTCAACAGGAGCTGTCTAGCATACAGGGCTGCCTGTTGTGGGGCACCCGGGTTGTTATTCCGGCCTCACTTCGCACACCAGTCTTAGAGGCACTACACGAGGGCCACCCGGGCATCGTCCGGATGAAGGCGTTGGCACGGAGCTACGTCTGGTGGCCTGGCTTGGACGACGACATCGTCAAGTGGGTAAGCTCATGCCAACCCTGCCAGGAATCCAGACCTTCCCCTCCAGTCACCACCCCCACAAAGTGGGAGAGCGCCAACGCGCCTTGGTCAAGGCTACACATTGACTTAGCGGGTCCAATACACGGCAAAACCTTTTTGGTAGTCGTAGATTCATACTCAAAATGGATCGACGTGGCCCAACTATCCACGACTACCACGCTAGCAGTTACCAAGGCTCTAACTCGCCTATTCGTAACACACGGACTACCAGATACCATTGTTTCGGATAACGGTCCCCAGTTTGCCTCAACAGAATTTAGCCGTTTCGCCACAAATCTTGGCATCCGTCATATCTTCACGGCCCCCTTCCATCCTGCCAGCAACGGACTGGTAGAGCGAGCCGTTAGGTCCACAAAAGAAGCGTTGGCCAGATTCAGCAAAGAAGATTGGCATCACAGACTCTCCCGTTTTTTGCTTAGTCAACACTCGACCCTTTGCATGGTCACCAACAAATCCCCTGCTGAACTTCTAATGGGTAGACGCCTAAGAACTGTGTTGGATAGGCTCCACCCTCACTATTGCCCTGACACCCCTCTCGCTTCAATGACGGGGGTCAGAGATTTTGTCTTGCAGGAACATGTATTTGCGAGGAACTATGCCGGAGACCCACTGTGGATTCCAGGAGTGATAGTAGCCATCACCGGCCCCCGGTCGTACCGAGTCCAGCTGGAAGACGGTCGCATCTGGAGAAGACACCTGGACCAGCTAAGGAAGCGACAGGGTACCTTCGCCAGCGTCGGATCAGGGGCTCAGGTCGACCCTCAGGTGCTACACCAAGCTCCCGTCGTAGACCATGCCAGGGCTTCTACACCACCGCCACCCGGACCAGAGGAGTTGGCAGTAGACCGGGACTGCCCAATGGGTCCGCCACCGGCACCAGTAGACGGGGCCACGACATCGCCAACCAGAAGCACTACACCGGTGCCTGTGCAACCCTCAGAGCGAGGCTGCACCCCATCACCAACCCCACCGGGTTCCTTGAACTCTGAGACACTTGGTAACTCACCGGAGTTACGTCGCTCGGGACGCCAGCACAGACCGCCCGCTTATTTAAGTGACTATGCGTGTTCGCATCTGGGGGGAAGGGGTGTTATGTCCCTGGAACTTGCCAAAGTCCCCACCCAGGTCCGTTCATGCTGCGGGGGCGTTTGCTGCCCCTCATTGGCTGGCCTCCCTCGACAGCCGGCTATAAAAGCCAGCTGCAGGGTCCGGCCAGTCGCTGATCGCTGGGAGCCTGCTCTAGGCAGAGCTAACACGTTCAGTCCTTTATTGCTACAATAAAGTCTTGTTGCATCCATGCCCTGGTCTAGCCTCTCATTGCTCAACTACAACAAATATATTCAATTCTTGTTTATGGAAAAGGAACGGAGTAAGTCACACATTCAAGAAAGAACATTATTAAATGTCATCCTGCAAATGTGTGCATGTGTCTCCTGAGTACAAGAGATGGTCCTGGCAGCAGGGGATCTGGGCAATATTGGAGCGGAGCAAAATGATCCTTTTTGTGGAACAAAGACAGAGGTGATCTTGTTTTCTTGCATGGAGAGCTTGAGGGAACATTATGCCTATTGATCAACTACCCCATACATTTCTGTAATACTATTCTACACTATGCAACAATTGTAGGATCCTACAAATAAAAGTGGATCCTCTACATGTTATATGATTTTAAATAAGATTACCCCAGATTACTTTATTTGGTAATCTGTTATTAAAAATCGTACATGCCTGAACATAATGAAGTATTTGAACCATAATGAACCATTTTGGACCCACTCTGAGTGCAAAGATGGATCTGATTCTTAAATACTGATGCAATCTTCCTTCTTTTTAAAAAAGAAATGGGAAGGAGACTTTCCTTTTCTGGGCTTGTCTGCACACATGTGGGGTGGGATATACTTTTTTTGTTACCGGGAGTCTTCCAAAATCTGTCATCAATCTGTCATCAACTGACTGCTTCCATCTGTTTTCTCCATAACCATCTACTTCTACAGGGCTGAGAGGCTTTCTTAGATACCCCCTGCTTGCAGGCAACAACAAACTGGGAAGAGTAGCCAGTCTCTTTCCCCTAAATTATCCGTGTAACTCGGCTGGAATAATACAACTTCCTTTGGCACAAAGGCCGGCTGGAACCTCCATCCTCGATTTGCCTCCCCTCCCCGCCTTCTTCGGGGGGGTTGCCCTAAAGAGCCCGCCCAGATCGGAGGCCAGGCTCGGAAGGGGAGGTCCCCGGCTCCCACCGGCCCGTTAGAGTGATTTCTCTCCGCGCCACGCCCGGCTCTTTCCCAGCCTAGGCGCAGCGCCGGGAGGCCCCACCGGCTCGCCCGCCCCCGAGTCGCTGGCTGGGAGTCTCTGAGGCGTGGCGAGCTCTCCCAAGCGCCCCTCATGGCCAAATCAGCCACCGCCTCGCTGACAGCACGAACGGGGAGAGGCGGCTTTGCGCTGCTTTATGTCACCTCGGGAGTCTGACATCGCCGTCCCTGCTCCCGCCGCCGAATTGCCTCAAAGAACGAGCGCCGGGAAAATGGGGCTTTTGCGAGACCGCAACCCGGACGCGTTTAGGCATTGTCCCGCATCCCCTTTTTAAGGCGGCTGGGGGCCGGAGGAAAAGAAAGAAATAAATAAAAGAAAGGAAGGAAGGAAAGAGAGGAAGGAAGGAAGATAGATAGATAGATAGATAGATAGATAGATAGATAGATAGATAGA